CCGTATACATTATGCAACCACTTTAATATGAGTTCCAAATCACAGTTCAAAATGATTGATTTCCCAAAAGAATTCTCGTCAAAGCTCTTTAGCTACTGATTTCAGAAAAAAATTCATTGCAACGCTATCATTTCTTAGCCTATCAACGTAAAGAACTTGCTATGCATAGGGTCAATTGTTTGCTAGCGACCAACATGAGACAGTTCTCATTAAGGAGAGCTTAGAACAGAAGCAGCTCCTAGATGTTCAAAAATGATTCACAACACCTATATCATTCCAGACACACATGATTTCAACGCCTCTGGCCCCAGAGAAATAAACAGATCAAACGATACTTTCAACACAGTCCTGGAAAAAACTACATATGATTATAAATCTCGACTCCTTGAGACAAAGAACAGAGAAAGACGGAACCATGCCATTCCCCCAGCCCTTCCCCCAGCCCTTCCCCAGTGAATTTTAACTTCTGGGTTTTATAGTCATATTACTTTGGGACCTCGATCATTTGCACAGACTAGGATTCGATTTAGAACAGATTTGCCCTCCGTTTAAAAAGTGCACCCCTGCTTCACGTGGCAAAAAAAAAAGGCAAATCCCCGCAAAAAGTGTAACCATATAGGAGTGATTTTATTTTGTGCGTCACACAACTTGTGTGAGGCACAAAATAAAATCACTCCTATGTGGTTACACTTTTTGCTGGGATTTGCCTCTTTTTATCTCACATATTTGTAAACTCATATCTTACACATCTGGGTCAACAAAATTTTGGGACCCACACATGACCCACAAAATAAAAAATTTCTATGAATAGACCTAATTAACTCTAACACACACACACACCTTCTTTACCCCCCCCCCCCCCCCAACCAACCAAACCCCAGTCTAACAGAAATCATATAATCCACGCTCCCATCCCAACCCGTCGCCGACGACCGCGAACGACAAACCCTACCTCTACTTAACTGAAAAGAGCCGCGTACGGAAAGATGAAAATGGGTGGACCTCTGGTTACTGAAAACAACTTATTTTGGAGTTCCGTTGCCGGTAAAAAACAGGATGACGTTAACGAAGGAGGAGAGGTGGCTGTTTAAGGTGGTTTCAACAGGTGGAGCTCTTGTGGCAGCTGCTGCGTCAACAGTCCAGCAGCTAACTTCCTAGCAGAAACCACACTCCTAACAATCCGGCAACATTTCCAATCAAGCTCCGACGATGACTTTTCCTTCGTCATACAAGCATTGTGATGAATATGCTCGTTAGACTTCCACCAGAGAAGAGGAGCTTCAGTCCTCCTCCTTGTTCCTCCAATATCTCTCCGCAACTTCACTCCGGCAGTGGCGAAATTGTTCGTCTTCCGGCGAGGCGGTTTACGAGTATTTTTAGGCAGTTTGCTTAAAAGATCTAGTTCGGAGAATGTAATCGCCGGGAGCTCAGTGTTGTTGCTGGTGTTCTTCATCTTTGATGCACAGATACAGGTCTGTGTGCATGTGTGAGGGGTTAGTATGAGAGCTGGTTGGGGGGTGAAAGAAGGGGTGCCTGTGTGTTATGGTTAATTAGATCGGGGAGGGGTTAATTAAAATGCCAAGTGGATTTTTATTTTTTTTAAATGAGGAAAAGCTTTTTAAATTCAGGTAGGTGATTTCCGCTAGAATAAAGGGCAAACTCGAGCCAAATGTGTCACGGCAGGGGTACGAATAGGTCACTTTTTAAACGGAGGATAAATCTATTTTAAATCGACCGCGCGATGCACGCGATGCTCGGACATAAACCATATCAAATTATGATGTAGGTTGTTTGAATCATGTGCAAATAACCTTAAAATATAAACCCTCATATTAAAATTATATAATCATTAGATATTAATTAAAAAGTAAGATATGAAATTATTGTTCAACCTATTTTTTATTGCATTTGTGGCAACCTAACCCCTTGACTTTACATTTCGTTTCACTGTCTAGAATACTAAATGTGTCATGTTGTGATTTGTTTTGTTTGAACATATTAGATCGTATTATTTTAACAAAATTCTTACTATCACTTTCTTTTTATCTGAAAGTCAAATATGTCTTATTCATCACATCATTTTTATGCAAATTCTTTTTCCTTTTTGTTCTTTGCTTACAGTTATTGTATCATTTATTATTTAACATTATTATACTATCATATAGTATTTTATTAGCTTAGTAATTAAGTTAATGTCTTGCTTATTCTCCTTTTAATAGTCTTTAATAAATACACTTTTTTATTCATAAAGTTTAATATATTTTTATGTTTGTATCATCTTATTCATAATTTGTAATCATTTAAATCTATTAGTAATATTTTTAAATATAATTTAACTATTTTAAATCATCTTAAACTGTAAGTTTCTCCACACTACCTTTATCTTTTCATACATTCTCTTCTCTACTATAAATTCAACCACATCTCGAAGCTATCTTCTTCTAGTTGCGGGATGAAATCCGACAGCCAACTGCTGGCTCTAAATAACCAGCCCCGCAATAAGCTCAACTCTTCCATGACATAAAGGGGCGAGCTTGCACGCGATTTTAATTAATTTTTATATTATTATTTTTACCTACAACCAAAACTTTTATTTTTACCTACAACCAAAACTTTCTCATCTTAAATATAAATAAGTTTTATCCTTTTTCCTCTATTTATTCATTAATTTTCTATTATATTATTTAATACCTAATATTATTACATTTTAATGTGGCTTTTCATTAGCTTGTTTGAGTTTAATATCTATTTCTACCACACTCATTATAATATAATTTAGATAAAAATTAAAAATTATTTCAAGAGTAATTTTGACTTTATTGTTCATATTGCAAAATATGATTTTCTTATCATATTTCTAAAAATAAATCTCATCTCCAATTCAATAATTCTTTCTATTTTCTATATTAGACTGCATTCTCAAAAAAATTATGCTTTCAAACTTAAATTAACCGTACTCAATTCAGATATAATCATAAAAAATATATTCTTTGTTGTCTGAACATGCAATATCTAAATTTATAGTAATATTTGCGTATGAATATCCATTTTCCTGATTTATCAATATCAATATGATTTTATTATTTTTATTACTAAAATATTTTATTGATTATTTAATTTTTCCTTACCTTATAAATAATTTATATATTTTATGTAAGATCTTATTTTGCTATCTGATTTTTTTATTTTCTAAAGACAATAAATATTATATATCTTAAGTAAATATTAGTTTTATTTTATATTTTAACTTACTACAAAGTATAAATAGTCATAGGTTATCTCAGTTTATTTTGTTTCCTATATTTTTTATTTTATAGTTTTTAATTAATTTTTTTACCTTCATATTTCTAGATAATATAGAAGAAAGTCTAGGAGTGGGTATATATATATATATAAATAAAATTGCCAAGTGGCTTCATTTTAGCTTGCCACTTAGCTTAACCACAATGTATACTACTCTCCTTTTAATATAATATAGATACAGATACTTTAGGGGTATATTTAGCCTTTTGCCCTTTAAAGAAAGAGATTCAACGTTTACTTCAATAACCAAACAATTACCATTACAAAATCCAATCGACTTATTAAGTATTCATCTGTTTAGCGTAAGTTCCTCCTAATTTGTGATAGTGATCCAGATGAAGATGAGAATATTGATCTATTCCAGAAACCAGTACTGTAAGTAAAAATTAAGCAGGCAAGAGAACTGATGCCAGACAGCCATTTAAGTGAATATATCCCAATTTAATTGACATGCAGCAGTAGGCAGTTGGGAAAGTAAGCATTATTTTGCAAGGAAAGGGGTACTAGATAATAAAATATTTAGTGGCAAAAACTTTCCCGAACTCCTAATATCTTACCCATTAATAGTAATTTAATCTCAAGAGTTACTAATTATATAAGATGTATGATACTTTCTCCATCCCCAAAAAATGATATTTTTGAATTTTGAGAGTCAAACTTCTTAAATTTGACAATTAATTCGGATATAGAATCTTTAAATTTTTTTTAAAATAAATTTATATATTTGAAAACTACTTAAAGGCAAAGGCGGCTCTAGGGTAAAGCAACTGAAGCCCTTGCCTTAGGCCATCTAATAACTAAGGCCCCAAAAATAAGAAGCATTGCTATATTATAATATAATATATACTCCATAATTTATATTTATATAATTATTAATAAAAGATTTTAAATTTTAATAATTTTTAACATTTGGTAGACGTAAGATTGAGTGAGTTAATTAGATAAATTTTTCTCACTAAATTAAATAATATGTTTACTTTCTCATTAATTTTATTTTTCTTTCTTTATGTATAGTCCTTTTCATTGTTCTTACGATTTTACTTTCTAATTTCAACTCAGATTCTCTAAATTAAATATTTCTTATTTGATTGATCCACACACCAGAAAGCAAGTTTTTTTGTGTCTCATCTCTTTTAACTAAGAAATCACTGAGACAAATGTGGCAAGGTTCAAAACATGATGAATAATGGGCTCACCCTTTACCATTTTCACTTAAGGAGAGAATTCGATACCATATGACGCGCGCCTAACTCATACATCATGAGTTGCGCTCTCACCACTATATCAAAGTCATGTAGGTTTTTTTGTATGTCAATATTATATGGATTTTATAAAAGACGTTTCAGGGTCTTTTTAATATATTTTAGTTTAGGCCACCAGTTCTGTTGAGCCGCTCCACTACAAGAAAAAACCTTATTTACGACCAACTTTTAGGGACGAGTTAATAATCCCGTCGCTAATAATACATGTATTGGGACGAGATTATATTGCGCTCCTTAATGCTTTATTTTATTGTGAAGGTAATAAGTCTGGTCCCTAAAAAAATAGTAACTGGTCCCAAATTATAATTGAGAGGCCACGAGTGTGAGAGTGTGCCGCCAAATCTAATACCAAAATATTAAAAAACTATTATTTTCTAAAAATTAGGCGCCAAAATTAAAAAGTAAAAGGTTCTGAAAACAAAATTAAACCTTGTATTCTCAAAACATAGTACCGCATAAAATTCTCTGCCCTAATCTCCGTCTACCTAGCGTTAGAGCCGGTCTCACTCGTCTGGTCGTGTGCGAAATCGATCAACTGATCATCTGCCCTAGTTTCCATCTCCTCCTTTGAGAATCCAAGGTATGCCTCCTCTTTCAAGTTGCTCTTTTTCTTCTCTATGTGTTCTGATTTCGCTGATTGCAGATCTTCTTCTTCTTCTTGCAGATCTTCTTCTTCTTCTTCTCTAACATTAAAAAATTGGTAAGATTTCATAATCTGGTATTTTTTCGTTTATATATTCAGTGGAAAAATTGTTGGGTTGGGATTCCTGATTTTATAATTTAATTTTCTGAAGTGTATTCAAGTTTGTAGCGTATTATCTGAAGAATTTTATTTCATTCAAAGTGCATACCAGTTTTGAAAGCTAATTATTCCATGAATGGCATATTAGTTTTATGTATTCAGTGAGGGATTAATCTTGAGGATATTTGGGCTGCTATAATTTTTACTATTGTATGCTCAAGTTTGTTGTTTGGGATTTCTTCTATAAACTGATTATTGAGTGCTGTTTCTGAAGGTTTATACTACTCATATTGTGAATATTTTTGTGCAAATTTGTATTTAATTTATGTTTCAGTTATCCATGCTCCCTTTCCTCTGTTTTTTTAATTTTGTCGGTGGAGAATTCTATGCTTTTTTTCCCCAGTGATTTTTTCAGTGACTTCAGTAGTTTCATTACCAATGCTCGTATTTTCTGTATCAAACAAAAGTGAGTTGGCCCTGTTAGTAGTAAAGCCGAAAATTTCAGGATTTCTCCCCAGGCACTCATTTATCTAAGTGTCATCTGATTGTATATTGCAATATATTAACTAAAAACAGAGGAGCCGAGTCGACTAGAAAGTACGACGTTAGAGTTGAATCAGTTGTGTTCATCTGATCGTAACAAGTAGTGTACATCGTTCGTGACTGTAATATGTGTCCGTTGGGAGTATCATCGCGGAATGATATAAAGGAAGAAAAGTTGAATCACATGTGGGCAGCTATTGAGTTAAGCAAGATATTTATATATACAGTGAAGATGCATATCATTTAGTTGAATACATGTGTTCCTGTTTGTGCCTCCGTGTAGGAATCACAACGAGTGAAACGAATCTCTGACTGATAATTGTTAATAGTTTTAATCTGCAATTAATTTGGCTAGACTGCTTGAACGCCGTGCGGCAATAACTCCTTCTCATTAGAGAACTGGATGCCCAATTTATTTAGAAACATATTGCTTTGTTACCCCTATTTAGAAAAATATTCAGTTGCTTGTCTGTTTTTACCCTTATTTAGAAACACATTGCTTGTCTGTGTAACTAGTGCATGCATAAGGTACAATCATACGCACATTAATTTTCCTGATTTCCTAGCCTCTTTAACAGCTGCATCTAGTTCCTGCTTTCAACCGCCCTTTCCTTCTGTTTCTTGTTCCTGCTTTCAGCTGCATCTATATTCTCTGTTCGTTTTACTTTTTTTTGCACAAACCACGGGCAAAAGATATGGATCCGATTGGGTATGCAGTTGGCTATTACTACTGATATGTCAGAGTGAAAGTAGAGTATCAATCTTATTATTTGAGACTGTCGACAACAACAACAACAACAACAACAACAACAACAACATAATTCCCACAAGTGGGATCTGGGGAGGGTAGTGTGTCCGCAACCTTATATCTACCTGGAGTTGGTATTTGAGAGGGTCGATGAAATAAAAAGAAAAATAAATAGCACATGGAGTTGTGTTGTCACTCTGCGTTTTGGGATCATGGCAGGAAAATGTGAAAATGTGCATCAGTTTTATGATTTTGTCTAAATGGTCTTTGAACCCCAGAAAACATCAGAAGAATTGTATATTGTCCTCTTTGACAGTTTTGGCGTTTTTGGATGGGGGTGATATAGATGATCACAAATTTTACCTGCATGTAGACGCCGTTAGTCTTGTTTTTTTTTGTCTTGTTGTTTAGTCTTCTAGTGTAGTTAACCATTTGAACATGAAGCCTGGTGAACCAGTGATTTTCTGAGTTATGAAGGCGAGCTGCTGTCAGAAACATATTTCAAAAAGTTCCCCGATATGAAAAAAATTAGTTTGGTTTCTTTTTCTATAAAGAATAAAAAGTCCATGTTTTCACAGATTATCCCTTGTACTACTGGAAATCAATTATGTCTGCTAATTTAACTCAGCCTGTTAGTCGATGTAGAAACATTCCTGTGGCACAGGAAAATTGAACAAACGTAATTTTCGTATCCGGATAAATTCAGGACACTTCATTTAAATCAAGATGTAGACAGAGGTTGGAAAATCATCCAAATTGTTACTCCATGTATTATTAATGAATGATATGCATTTAGTAGCATATCCTCCAAAACAATATTCCTAGCTTGACACAAATGCTCATAGCTTGGCTCCTGTAGTTTATTCCTTTCCATTCGAGCAACTTGGTGACCTCAATACCTATATATATGAAGTGTGTATTGAGGTATTCATATGGATGTATAGTGTACTGATCAACTGGACACTGAGGGAAACTATGCCCAGTATGCTGTCATCCTTCATGCTTGTGCTTTTTTGTATAATTTTTGGAGAATGTTAACTGATTCAACTGTTAATTGCTGTGGAGTTTGAAATAACAGTTAAAACTATATTATATGTTAATTGCTGTATAACTGATGTAGAGTTGCTCCTAACACAGGATTATGAGTAGTTACTAGAACTGAACTAATTATTTAACTCAACCCATGTTTTGATTATTGTAGGATAAATTTGAGAGTGTTAACATGAATGATCATCGTGATCATATCTTCGCATGGATGAAAGAGTTATAGAACAAATGGAGAGGACACTTTCATGCAAAATATGTGAAGGATAAGCCAATCCAACAGGCTCTTAAGAATATTCCAAAGGGAGTAGACAAGAACGAATGGGAGTGGTTAGTAAAAGAACATTTTTCTTCAGAAAGTTTTCAGGTATGCCTAGTGATTTAATAATCTATTTGAGTTATCGAATTATGTGTTTCGATGTGTAGTTTCAGCTTAAGTATCACAACTCATGCACCATATCACCATTTCTGCTTGTGCACCAGATCACTTTACATTCTCAATATGCACCAGATCACTTTACATTCTCAATATGCATGTTCCAATAGATCACTATTTCTGCTTGTGCACTTGAAGAACATTGCATATATATGAATATGCTTAAGCAGTCGGACTATGTAGAATAAGTCATCAGATATGAGGGTGAATAAAAATGTGTGAATAAAGAAGACAATTACTCTAATAAATAAAAATGGCAAACAGTGACAAAGGTAGGCACAACCAGATTATTGTAGTTAAAATTCGTGAGCAATGTCGATATAGATAACAGAATTGAAATTTATTAAATTTCTTACATTTAATCTTAATGTTTCACAAATATAGGCGAGAAGCAACAGGAATGCGGCAAATCGAGCTAAGTTGAAGATGCTTCATCATATTGGTAGCAAGCCTATTCGTGAGATCATTTATCAAAAGGTATTATCATAAAATTTCTATTTTCCTAAGAAAATATTTACGAGCTGTTATTTGACAAGTTTGCCTTTAATGTAAAGGGCGGAAAAGATGGCAACCCACCGGATTTGACAACAATTTTCTTTGAGACCCGTAAGAAAGATAACAAGCTTGTTGAACCTTGCCACATCTTGTGAATTCTATGAGAAACTTGCCACATCTTAATTTGAATTATATTGGTAGGCAAAGTTAATTCCATTTCAATTTTCTTTGAAGTTGCTTGAATCTAATGAAGAGCATGCATGCTAAATCATTTGGCTATTCTTGTGTCTATGATTGTCATTGATTGAGAGAATATATGTAATCTTGCTTTTTTCCAGTATTCTATTTCATTTGTTCGCCGATACCTCGTGGAATCATCAGATGTTGAATGGTGTCCCACTCGATAAGTTATTGCCTGAACATTTTCACCAAATGCACATATAATTTTTCACTTCATTTAGTTGGAATTCATTCAAAAGCCAATTATGACAGTATACATAAGTTTCACCTCAACTAATATTGGTCTATCCTCATTGATTGCCATATTCCGAGCTGCATGAATAGCACTATAAACAGCAATAGTGCTTTGTATAATTCTTATTCCATAACCTAGTCCCTTTGTCACAATGCCATCACCTGCCACAAGAAGAAAAAAGAGGAGAAGCTAAGGAGATAACATAGATTAATCACATTCCCATGTCCAAAAAAATGTAATTTAGTTCCCTCTTTCAGGTTTTATATATGCTTTATTTTCACTTAAATAATATAATTAAGTAAATATAAGTGTATCCTTTCTAACATGTTAAACTTTTAGATAAGGTGGTAACACAATTTAGACCGAATTAAGAGGAAATGAATTTACTTCAGAACTGTTCATATACAGGGGTGCTTGGAAGAAAACTTGTACCATCTTTAAATTTAAAAAATTGCTTTCTGGGATTCCCTGCAAGCTTGTGCTTCCATTGGGCATGTTGTTATTATGTTATATTAACGATGGATGGAATAGTTTCAACTTCATGTTTCCCAACATTATTATCTCCCAAGCAGTACAATATGTTGAAGCGATGTAAAGTATTTTGGTAGAAGATTAAATTGGTAGTCTGCATTTTTCATTCTTTCTTGTTGTTGATGTCTGTGCAACCTGCTAGAAGATTATTTGGTAGTCTGCATTTTTCTAGGCCGTGAGATGTATTCTGAAACATATTTGACTTTACTACAGGGAAATAGCGAAACATCTTTCCCTTCCACTTGTTAAACTGCACTGCAGCATGCTTGCGGAGGATGCAATTAAGGCTGCAAATACGCCTTAATTATATTATTTTATCAATAGTTATTTATCATCTTTTCAAACTTTTGTACTTACAGGTTTTGAAGATTGAAGCTACAAGTCAAGATACAAGTTTAGAAGATGCACAAGTTCATTATTATTTTGCTAGGGCTGTTATGCAAAACTTGATATCATAGTCTAGCTCAGGATGTTAGCTAAGTTTTTTTGTTAAGGTGTTGAGCAAATATTGAAACTAATTAACATCATCATGGGATATTAACTTGATATATTATATTTTTATATTTAGATTTTCTATAACAATTTGATATTTATTGATAAAAATACTTTTGGTGTATCGAGCTTTAGAACTACTCATGGTCAATAAGAGACCAAAAATATTGTCGCCAAATTACATCAATTATTTTAATTTAAAAAGGGACCTCATCTATAAAAGATAATCTGGGACGACCCGTTAAAGGTTGGTCGCTAAAATGGTTTTAACGATTGAATTACATTTATTTTTTACGACCAGATTTTCTGCCCATCTCTAAAAGATAATCTAGGACCAGTTGGAGGTTGGTCGCTAAAACGCTCTAATGACGGGAATATGTATAATTCTCATCACCTTTTAGGGACGAGATGTGCAGTCTCTAAAAGTATTTTACGACCAGAATTTTTGCTCGTCTCTAAATCAATTAACGACCAGGTTTTTGGACCCGTCGCTATTGACTTTTAGCGGCGGAAGCTATTACGACGGGTTGCGACCAGCTGTTGCCCGTCGTTATTTCTCTTTTGGGGACCAGATTTGGTCTTTTAGGGACCAGATTTCCCTTCCTTAAAGGCCGTTTTTCTTGTAGTGCTCCTCATTGACAATCAATAATTATTTACAGACTACTGCCCCACCATAAACGTATTGTTCAATCAGCTTCATTCACATTTGGTAACTGAATGACACACTCACTACTTTTAATGCTCTTGTCATTGTTGTCTTATCTTAAGTGAGACTCTATAAGTTTTTTGAGAATATGAGGGGTGGATAAGTGGCTCTAGTAGGAGACTAGTAAAGCCTTGATTTAGGTCCCCCAAAATTATTAATAATGAATTTTATCAAATTAGATAATATTAATGATTGTAGAAAAAATAAAAAAGTACAAAAAAAAAGTTGTAAAAAAAAAAAAGAAGAAGGTATCTACTCTTAACCAGTAGAAATATTTTTAAAACTTTGAATTAAACTACTTAAATCTTCATATTAGTAAATATATTTTTTACAACAATATTAAAGGTAACATATTGCAAATACATGTCTAACATCTCATTTATTTCAAATTTTCTTTTCTAATATAAATAATAATATTACTATGTGAAATTAAAGACTTTATGTTATTTAAGAATATATACTATAAACAACAAGTATGAAAAAAATGGCAAGATTAATTTTTTTGCATATATGCGTGTATACGTACTAATAAAAAAAGTATAAGGCCTCTTATTAAAATTTAATTTTAGGCCACTAATTTTATGGAGCCGCCCTTGCATAAAGGATACTATGTGTCACAATAACCAACAATTCAAAATATTTAAAAAGTTATATGAAAAAGTTGTGGTCAAAAAACAATTCGTTTGACTCTCGAAATCCGAAAAGTATCATCCTTTTTTGGGATAGAGGGACTAATTATTAGCTATGGTTACGTAACAAACTTTTGTCTAAAAGACACATATTTCAGCTGCAGCCTGCAGGTACGTTTTCTCTTCAACAAGAGTAGAATATTAAAAATCCACATCTAATGAAAAGATTGATTTTTCAGACAAGAACAAAAATAACTCCTAAAGTTGCAGAGCACAGTGCATTCATTATCAGTTTGAAGTTCAAGACATCAGGTAATACAACCAAAATAACTGCTCTTGCAAAAGATTATCGTTTCTTGAAAATAGTTCAATGACTAACAAGATCCCCAAGCAATATGGACTGGAATTTTAACAGCACTTAAGAAAAATGCATAGGCTGTAACAAAGGATTGTCTTCATCTGAGTTATTTCAGACTCAGTTGTTGTTGTTTTATAGAGCAGTGGTTAGGCCTGCCATGTTGTATGGGACCGAGTGTTGACCGGTTAAGAACTCACACATCCAGAAGATGAAAGTTGCAGAGATGAGTAGGGGTGTTCACGGTTCGGTTTGGTCGATTTTTGATTAAAACCAAAACCAAACCAATTTAATCGGTTTTTAAAATTTTAAAACCAAAACCAAACCAAATTAAATACAAACCATCGGTTTGATTGTTGTTGGTTTGGTTCGGTTTTTCAGTTCTTAGTAAGCTAATGATAAGTCGATAATATTAAAACAACGCTAGACAACAATCTGAAAATAATTTGCCAAATTTATGCTTTTTATATATTTCTTTGAGAACTGAAAGTTTATTTACATGTTTATATGAAAAGAATGAACAAAAAACAAACTATAAGGTTGCTTTCTCAAGCTTTAGCCATTGTTGTCTTGCAATTTGAATGTGCTTTCTTTGCTCTTGTGGTGGTTTTTTTTTTACCTCTTCTTTTAGGCAAAAGTATGTGCGGAGGGTTAGAGAATTAGAGTCTATTAATGAAAAGAAAATTGGTCGAATCCTATTGTTTTGATCTTAGGCAATCTTTTAAGATATAACAGGATAAACCAAAATTCAAAATAACAATTAAGATTATTAATATAATTAATCGGTTTGGTTCGGTTTATTTTTCAATTTTTTTAAAATAGAACCAAAACCAAACCAAATATTATCGGTTTTTAAAATTTAAAACCAAAACCAATCCAAATCAAAAAAAAAAATATCGGTTTACTTAATCAGTTTGGTTCGGTTTCGGTTTGGATCGGTTTTCCGTTGATGATAGGCTATTATTACACTCTAATTTACTGCACTTTAATTGAGTTTGAGCTTTAATCGCTAGTGTTTTGCACTAACTGTGTGTTTTATGCCTTGTAGGAGTGATTCCGAGCTATGTAGATGTTATGGAATGAATTCAAGTGATTTGGAGCTTTGAAGTCTGAGTAAAAGCCCAACGATACGAGCCGGGATCGCGTTTGGGGGTCAACGGATGCTAGTTAGAGCGAACGAAGAATTCAGTAGGCAGATTGCGCACTGTCTAGTAAAATAGATATAACTTTTTGCTCAGAACTCCATTTTATCTCCACAATATATGGTTGGAAAGCTAACTCAAATGGATACAACTTTCATGTTTTAAGTTTTCCCAAATTCGGAACGCAACAGGGTGAAAAATGCGCGAACGCGCGAAGTTGGCGCGAAGTCGCGCATGTTAAGGAGCTGGATGCAGAATGATGCGAAGTCACGCGCGAACTCGCGCTAGTCACCCGGGAAAAGTGTCCTTTTTCACATTGGAGAAGGTATAATTGTTTGGGCCCAACCCTACTTGGTATATATACATGAGAGAACGTTTTTAGAGTAATTTTGGACGGGGGAGGATGCCATTTTTGGTGATTTCTAACATACTTTGACGGAGAATTCACGTGGAGGAACACACACCACGCTTGGAGGAGGCTTTCAACTAGTTTTTTTTCTCTTATCTTCCTTTAATTTCATAGTTTATTAGTTCTAGAGTTTTGGGTGCTACATGAACGTTGTAGTTTGAAGCTTGAATTGTTCTTATTATTTTATCATATTGGTTTATTTATTCAATCTTGCGCTTAATTATTTGATTGCTTAATCACCAATTGAATACTATCTACGAATCTAGGATTGAACTCGGGAGAGGGAATTCTAGATTGCATATAAGATTGAGTAGAGCAAGATCTTAACTCTTAGGGGGAGCGGATTTGCGGTTAGGATAGGAATATACCTAATCGCCTTGCTTGGTTATTATACGGGAATTATAAATGCGTTCTTGTTAATCCTAATTCCATAGGAATATAGGCCTTAGGTTAGCTTGAATAGGCGAGTTTTACTTCGGGAGAAGGCTACGAGCAATATTAACCCTGTCAATCAATAAACCGGATAAATTAATTAGACGATTTAAGTGGAAAACTCAACGGGATTGTTAGCTAACCCATAACTCTAGAATATTCACTCACATTGAATTCGTCTCTATAATTCGCCAACTTGTTTTCTTTGATCTCTTAATTTGTTACTCTAGTTTAATTTTAGTTAAATATTCATACTTTAGGAATTCGCTTGAATAGATTAATTGTTTGGTTTAATTTAGTTGATAGTTAATCACAAGTCCCTGTGGGTACGATATCTGGACTTATAATCCTATATTACTTGTCGATCACGTATACTTGCGTGTGCGTTTTGGAGCAACAAGTTTTTGGCGCCGTTGCCGGGGACTTAAAAATTAACTATTTTACTAGATTGGATTTTTACTTTTTATGTATTTAAGTTTTTAATTTTAGTCTAGTGTAGTTAGTATTATATATTTTTTTTTACATGTCATATTTGAACGAAAAGTGGTGGGATAGTAAGTATTCTTGTTTTTGTGATCCTTGTCCATATTGTAAAGGACCCACTTGTGGCAATATTGTAAAAATATTCCAAATACAGAGTTATGTGCACCATCTCCATCATGTACTATTTGTGATGGAAATTGGAATAATTGTCCTAACTGTTGTTATCCTACTCCAATCACTTCTTATGTTGATTCTAATAATTCTTGTGAGTTTGACAGGAGTAACTAATTGGATGATGTAGAACACGATGTTCGCATTCTTGATATGCACGGGAAATTATTAGAGGAATATGGAGGTTTCCGTGAGAAAATTATGAATGAGATGCAACAATTTATAGAAGGAAGAGCTGAACTGGGACAAGAGATCGATCAATTTGGAAGTTCTATTCACGACTTAGAGGCTCAATTGAGTGCAAAAGTTGATGCGTGTAACGCCCAACAATTTAGTGATGAGTTGTGTGAAGCTGAAAAAGATCTTCTAGGCCAAATTCAGGAGCTAAAACGAGAATACCAATCATTAGACAATGCTTTTGTTGATGTTGCCGAGGTTGAAGAGTGCGAAATTGAGGATGTCAAAAATAATACAATTTTGGAGTTGGGGCGTATTGGACCTCATTCTAAACATTTTTCAATGTTGTGTTTGGTTGGTGATATGGGAATTGACCCAGTCGAGCATATGGAGGAGTCAATGGATGAGGAACAAAGTGTTTACATTCTGAAATTTGCCACACCAAGGAGACAAACTGCATTCCTCACTTGAAGGCCAAGAAGTGCAAGATGCGATACCTATTACTTGGTTTCTTTATTTTTACACCACCGCCCCAAGAACGTGACACAAAAATTGATGCAAAACTGGGGGTGCAATTC